CGGCCGCCGCCCGGCTGCTCAAGCCCGAGCTGCAGGTGTGCGTGTTCTGCCGGAACAACAAGGAGGCGGTGGCGCTCTACACCACCCACATCCTGAAGGGCCCCGACGGGCGAGTGCTGTGCCCGGTACTGCGCCGCTACACGTGTCCCCTGTGCGGCGCCAGCGGCGACAACGCGCACACCATCAAGTACTGCCCGCTCTCCAAAGTGCCGCCGCCGCCCGCCGCCCGCCTGCCGCCGCGCAGCGCCCGGGACAGCCTGCCCGGCAAGAAGCTGCGCTGAGAGCCGGGCTCCGCTCCGCCGAGGCCCGGTGCCACCAGGCAGGGCGGGGCCGCCGCCGCGGAGCTCAGCCCAACTCGGAACGTCGTCTTGGTGGTCTGTCGGGAGAAGCCGGCCGGGAGGAGTACTTTACCGGGGAGCGGTTGGGACTGGACGCTAACATCTTGATTTTTGTCTCTGCAGTGTGTAGTTTGCGCACATGCAGAACGGCGAGGGCCGCGTGTATTTCCCTGGCTGAAATAATGGCACCCAGGAGACATCGTTTATTTACTGTACACGTCCACCTATTTTAGATGCGCATCCGTATGAAATGGTCTCTCATCTTGGATGTTTCGTTTCATGAATGGAGACACTTTACTAGGTCTAGAATATTTTTTTAATGAGCCTCTGAACTGAGCCTTAAACTGGCGATTTTATGGAATGTTGGCAAAAATGACATTGTTGGATGCGATCAATATCTTAGTTTTGCCCCTAGTCACTCTTTAATTCCAGGTGAGGTCTCTGGTAGCTTCAGTTCTGAAAAGTGAAGGTTTATCCAGTATTAATTCGGGAGGGTCCCCTCCTTGTGGCTTGTTTGTTCTAGCTGGAGATTAAATGCACAATCTGTAGCAGATAGAATACAACTCCTTCTCCTTTTATGTACCGGATCTTTTATTATTGGACTAGCAACTTTCTAAAACTTGTGCCAAGTCATAATCATATTGTGTATACGCTTGGAAATGGTGCTGTTTAAAGGACTTGTGTATTTATACAGTAACAGTATGAGTTCATCTTATCTATAGCTCCTATTTGGCATTTTTCTCCATGCACCTCCCCCCATTTCTAATTACTTGCGAATGTCTATGATACTAAGATCAAAGAAGAGAAAATCGAAGTGTTCAGATTGCTGTTTCAGGTTTCCTAAGTGATGGAGAAAAGTTCAGAGCTGTTGCTTCTCCAACTTTAAAATACAAGTTGGGAAGCTAATGTAATAACCTGAGCTCAGGAAGGTTTTCCCTTTGGGCTGTCTGGCTTCTGGCATCCAGGGAGTACACCAGGATAAGCCCTAATTAAAGGAGTCGTTGGGGGTGGGGTTATGACAAGAAACATGGCCTCCCTGGTGTTCTCATTCGTATTAGAAAGAGACCCTTAGGTGGCCTGGCCACCCCACCAAGTTACCCTTAAGCAGAGGTTTCTAATACTTTATTTTCAACATTTGTTTGTAAATCCACCACTCCGAATGCCACACTGTGACTTGTAGATTCAGACTACCAGGGCAAGATGTATAAGGCAAAGATGGAAAGTGAGTTAAGAGGAACACATCAGAAATGCACAAACCACTAGCAAGAGATTCAGTCTTAAGTCTATAAAGCTTACAGTATTAGCTAGGGTATTAGTTCAGACTGGCTTCATGCTAAACAGCTACTTCCACAAACTACTACCTTGATGTGAAACACACTGTAAGAATGCATACTGGGCTAAATATACTGAGTAGCTGAGCGCTGTTTGGGACAAAGGAAGGTGCATCAAATGCAGGAGCAATGGTGGAAACATTCATCCCTAATTCTAGCCCCCAACAAGAGAATTGTCTGGGCCTCAGCTCAAGTAGCTTAATAAAATTATGTACATTTTTTTTTTTGCTAAAGAATGTTATTACTCTAGTTTCTTTGGAGGTGGGGAGGTGAAATTTTCACATCAATGGGAAGTCCCATCACCTATTAGTCTACCTTTTGAAGTCACTATGAACAGTCACTCTGCAGAACAGACAGGTGGCAGATTCAGCTACCTGGCAAGTTTTAAGACTGAAATTTTAGATTTCCTAAGGCATCAGGCTTTTTGTTTTGGCTGTAACAGCCCCAGTACCAGAATGCACACTTATGTAATGGGATGCATCCTTTGCCTATTTACTATTCTGGTATTAACTATTTTACCTGAACTGGGAAGGCTGAGCAGTTTCTGGGAAGTCCTGGAGTAAAGATGAGATAGCTATTATACATTAACCTATTTTAAAAGTACCCCATAATCACTTTGCACCATGCCAAATTTGCCTCAATTTTCTCAACACTGTTAATACTTGGAATTTGTGGTACCAAGTTGTTCCTGTAATAGTTTGGGTATACTTCACTTATTTAAAAGTAATCTTCATTACTGGAGATGTAGCTCATGTGGTAGACTATCAGCATTCAGCAAAAAAGCCAATGAGAGTGAGTGATGTCCTGAATTCAAGCCCAAGTACTGGCACAAAAATAATCCTTGAGCCAGTGGTTCACACCTGTAGTCCTGGCTATTCAGGTGGCCAAGATGTGAGGATCACAGTTCAAAGCCAATGGGGCAGAAAAGTCTGTGAGACTCTCATCTCCACAAAAAGCCAGAAGGAGCTGTGGCTCAAGTAGTAGAGCACTAGCCTTGAACACAAAAGCTCAGGGACAGCACTCAAGCCGAGTTCAAAACACAGGACTGGCAAAATTATCTTTGGGATTTAATCTAAAACTGAACATTTCTCGATTGCTTAGGGTAGAAAAATCCAGTTTAAAAAAATGACAAGATTACATTCTTCCTGAGAATATGCTCTATTTGTCTAGACAATAAAAGGTATGTGAATCCCCAAGAGTTTCCACCAAGGGCAGAGGCATAGGTTGCTGCTTTCCTGTTCATACTTGTATTTCCACCATGTGTGGTTTTATTTCTTCTAACAGCCACATAAACTGGAACCATACACTTTCAATTCATATCACTATTTAAATATACTTTGTGGTAAAGACATCAGTCCTGATTTCCTAGTCAATAACTTGGTTCCTTGTAATTAATTTGGTAAGTTGTTATTTCTTCCTATGGCATCATGTACTTTTATTGTAGTTATATAGGAATAGTTATATAGACAATGGCATTGTTTTGATATGGTCCTGCTAAGTAACCCACCCGAGCCTTGAACTTAGAATCTTCTTGCATTGGCCTTCAAAATGTGATGATCAAAGCTGTCTACTACCATGCAGATCAGTGATTCTTAACTATTAACATTCCACATGCTAACTACTCCTAGAAAATACTCCATAGACAACCAGTGGATGTAGCATTTTGGGAGACAGTGTCATCTAGACCTTCAGGCTTTTTTTCTGTATTTAACAGCAATGTTCTGGCTTAAAACTCCTGAAGCCACTGAGAACATGGAGACCAAATGGCATATTAGGGGTAGATTGGTTGTTCATTTTCTGTTACCCCTGTTAATAAACCTAGGTAAAACGATACAGGGTTGGGTCACAAAGCAAACAGCCTAACACTATTCTGCCCCTGCTATGTGTTCTGGGTCTGACTCAAGACAAAACAAGAGGAGATAGAACAGGAGACACAGATGGGCTGAGTGGAGCAGAAAAGGTAGGTTTCCAGGATAGTGCCTTGAAGCTTTTACACATCTCACTTAAAGAACTGTCTGGGGATTCTGCAATATCACATGTACTATCACCTGAGTACAAACTCATGCCCTGATATAGTCATCATCTCTTAAGTTCAGAAAGCAAAATCCTCCCCCCAACAAAAGACTTATTTTTTTTAAGACTTTCATATTAGGACTAGAGGCATGGGCTCAGTGGCAAAGTGCCTGTGAAAATACAAGGCCCTGAGTTCAAATTCCAGTACTATCCAAATATACCAACTTTTAGCATACTGAAATGTCAGGTATCAGTCCTTCAAAAGTGACTTCCACCATTAGTATTATCAAACGAAAGATGATTGTGGTTCACACCTTGTAATACTAGCTATCAGGAGGCTGAGATCTGAATATATGGTTCAGGGTCTTCAATTAATCACCAAAGAAAGCCATATGTGGAGCTATGGCTTAAATGGTGGAGGGTAAAAAGCTTAGTTAGGGACAGCATCCAAGCTCTGAAATTCAAGCTCTAGGACAAACAAACCCTACTCCACCCCATGGCAAAAAAAAAAAAAAAAAATCATAGAAGAATCTGACTAAACAAAACCGCATCCGTACACCCTTCTTCTGGCCTTAAAGCTGTCCCAACAAACAGCAATTCTCATTACTCCCCAAGTTTATAGTGCCCATAGTCATTAATATTCCCTTATTTCTATGTTCAAAAAAATCCAAAAGTGATACCTGTACACACCACGTGCACACTATGATGCTAGCAACTCAGGAGGCTGAGATCTGAGGATCAAGGTGCTCTTATCTCCAACCAACCACCAAAAGCCAGAAGTGGAGCTGTGGCTCTAATGGTAGAACACTAAAAACAGCTCAGGGAGACCACCCAAGCTGGGTTCAAGCCCCACAACCAGCATTTAAAAACAAAAAAGTTAAAGAGCTTCACTTACAGACAGGTAATAATCTCATGGTTTTTCTAGTTGCTTTCTGTGTTATATTTAGGCTATTTTCTATTTTTCAATACATAAGAGATATAACACTGATAAAAAGAAAACTAACAAAATACACTCACCTCAATGCAAACGCACTAACCATAAGCAAAACGCTTTATATTCATAAACCAACACTAAAACAAATTCTGTAAGTATTTTATTTATCATTGAAGAAAAAAGAAAAACACAGCAGCAAGTTCTGTGTTGGCTTCAATAAGACCAGATAGTTAATCTTAAACATCACTACTGCACTCCAAAATTGAAGGCAACACAGTCATTACTACAAATTACTTGTTGACTCTATCCTGAAGAGAAAGAAAATTAGGAAACAGAATTTAAACAATTCCTCCAAACCACACATTTATAAATATCATATTTTAAATGCTTAAAAAGGCATGAATTCTCCATTAATGGAAAAGCAGTTTGCTATTGGCAACAGAAAAAAAAATACCTCAGCGACAATTTAGCAAATCTTATAGAACTGAGAAGCCATACTATGCTGGACTCCCACAGAGCAGCAGTATGTCAGGTCATGACAATGACTGCAAATTACCTCATACTCACCTCCTCAAAGCTACGAAAATCCCACTGTAGCCATGCAATGTTTACTGCATTTCTCTGATCCTAAAAACAGTACTTCAAAATGCCTAGAAGTACATGTTCCAGTATCCGTGTGTCAACTTCCAGATCCACTGGCTTAAAGGATTTCCAAATACATCTTAACAGAATCTTACCTTATTCCAAATTAATACCAGATATTTCAAAATCAAAAGAAAAAAAAAGATCAATTGTATACCAAGATAACAGGTATTCCTCAATACCTGAAGGGTTCACATTTTTTATTTTTTTTGTTTTTTTCTTTTTTGTAAACAAATGATTGATGAAATAATGCAACACCTTAAATTCCAGAAAATGGCATGGTTTCCCAACCCTCTGTGGATACGGTGCATGATCATTCTGTTATATAGGGTTAATAATACAAGTTCATGCTTTTTTGTGTGTGTTATGGTGAGACAACATTAAAGAATCCAATTTAGACTGGCTGAAGCACAAGTATAATAATCCTTGAATGTGGTTAAACCTATGTAAAACACAAGTTCGAATCCATTATCTTGAGACTTAACGTCGTACTGTGGTCCATCCATCCTCATCAGTCTCATTTTTAGTACGACGAAGAGACTCCTTATCTTTCTCAGCTCTCCAAGAGGCCTTTTCTTTATCACCTTCCCTTTCACGATCCCGGTCTCTTTCTCGATCTCTAGTTAGAGCTGGGGGAGGAACACGACGGGGTGGATCTCGCTCTTCTCCCCGGTCATCTTTCCTGTCATCAGAACGTCTCCAAGAACTTACTAAAAAAGATGAATTGAACAAAGAATTTAATCCAGACAAAAGCAGAAAAACTCTATCAGAAAAACCAAAAGCAAAAGGACTGAGAGCTGTGGTTTGAATGGTAAGGCACTTGCTTACATAACAGGAGACCTAGGTTCAATCCCCAGCACTATATAAAAAATGTAAAGTAGAGCCCGGCACCAGTGACTCACACCTATAATTCTAGCTACTCAGGAGGCTTTTACATGTGAGGATTGTGGTTCAAAGTAAGCCTAGGCAGAAAAGTTTGTGAGATTTTCCAATAAACTCAGAAAAATGAACGAGTGGCACTGTGGTTCAAGTGGTAGTGATAGCCTAGAAAGCAGGGCTGGCCAAAAAAAAAGCAGGTAAAAATTGAGTGGGGGGAAAAAAAACTTTAAGTGTCTTAAACAACCTGAGACAAAGAAATGTGTCTGCTGGGCGCTGGTGGCTCACGCCTGTAATCCTAGCTACTCAGGAGGCTGAGATCTGAGGATCGCGGTTCAAAGCCAGCTCGGGCAGGAGAGACCATGAGACTCCTATCTCCAATAAACCACCAGAAAACCGGAAGTGGCGCTGTAGCTCAAGTGGTAGAGCGCTCCCCTTGAGTGAAGAGCTGAGGGACAGCGCCCAGGCCCAGAGTTCAAGCCCCACGACCGACAAAAAAAAAAAAAAAAAAAAAAGAAATGTGTCTGCCTAAAATTGCTCAGAAATTCTGTGAAGATTACATAGAATCATAACTAAAACTCCACACATTTGATATTTCCAATAAAAGCTTTAAAATACCAAACCTACAAACAAAATGAAAAATAAGCAGAAATCACTGCTAAATAAAATTTTTCAATCTGAGGATCATAGTTCAAACCAGTCTCGGCAGGAAGCTCTGTGAGACTCTTAGTTCCAATTAACCACCAAAAACCTGGAAGTAGAGATGTGGTTCAAATGGCAGTGATAGCTTTGAGTGAAAAAGTAAGGGGCAGCTCCCAGGTCCTGAGTTCAAGCCATAGTACTGACACATGTACACCCCCCTCCACATACACCCCCAAGGATTTCTGGCCCTTGAAGATTTTTTTTTTTGGGTCCGGTGGTGGGGCCTGAACTCTGGGCCTGGGCACTGTCCCTCAGCTCTTCAGCTCAAGGCTAGCACTCTACCATTTGAGCCACAGCGCCACTTCCGGCTTTTTTCTTTTTTCTTATGTGGTGCTGAGGAATAGAACCCAGGGCCTCAAGCATGCAAGGCAAGTGCTCTACCACTGAGCCACCTTCCCAGCCCCCCCTTGAAGAATTTTAACAGCAAATTAGTCATAAAACATCAAAGTTCAGCCAGGTACTAGTGGCTCACACCTCCTTAGCTACTAAGGAGGCTGTGATCTGAGAAACACAATTCAATACCAGCCTGGGTAAGAAAGTCTGTGAAACTCTTGTCTCCACTAAACTACCAAAAAGCTGAAAGTGGAGCTGTGGCTCAAGTGGTAGGCTTGAGCAAAAGAAACTCAGGGACAGCACTCAGGCTCAGCATAAAAAGAAAAAAAAAAGTTTTAAGCTATGATGACAATCTTATGATTGTGGTGTGCAGACAAAATATTAAAACGTGAAACTTATAAAGGGCCTGGCTAAGTTAGAAGAGCACCTGACAAGCAAATTGAAGGCCCTGGGCTGGGAAGGTGGCTCAGTGGTAGAGTGCTTGCCTTGCATGCCTGAGGCCCTGGGTTCGATTCCTCAGCACCACGTAAACCAAATGAAAAAAGCCAGAAGTGGCGCTGTGGCTCAAGTGGTAGAGCGCTAGCCTTGAGCTGAAGAGCTGAGGGACAGTGCCCAGGCCCAGAGTTCAGGCCCTACAACCGGACCCCCCCAAAAAAATTAAAGGCCCTGAATCGAAACCCCAAATGATACCCAAAAACATAAACAGAAAAGAACCAAATTTTTGCCATGTACAGCAAGCATTGCTTACTAAAGTTTCAACTACTCCAATTTTAGAGAGCAGTTATGTTTATCCACCAGAACATAACTTCCAAATAACTTACTCATTTTCATTAAACATCATAAATGTTGTTCATTTTAGTCTATCACTGCACTGATCTTAGAAATGAGCTCAGTTCACAATCTGATCATAAAGCTCTAAATAGAATAAAGTATCAACTGTTCAGTTTTGAGTTCATAGAACTCTACAAGTTAACTAAATCCTTCCTCACAGTTTTCCATACACCAGCAGCTGTAATGACCATACCTTCCTCTCGCTCTGATCTGAGGGGTGGTCCTCTCCGCTCTCGGTCATCTCTTAGATCTCGTCTTTCTCTTAGATCACGCCTATCATCTCGGTCACGCCGACGGTCATCCCTATCCCTCTCATCGCGGCGACTTGAATCTCTCCAGCTTGAAGATTCTTCAGCCGGTCCTCTTCTCCAGCCACCTTCATCCCTGTAGCCATTTGAAAGGACAAAATTCTTTATATTTACTAATCTAATTTTCATAACTTTCCCTCAATTAAGATATATTTAGACATAAAATGCAAGCAAAGATATATCTAAGTGCATTTCCTCCCACATAGTAGCCACCACACACATAGCTACCTCAATTCACTTACAGTCAAGGCAGCTAGCATCACTACCTATATCCCAAGCACTCAACAACCACATGTGGCTGTTGACTTCAGACAAGAAGGTGGACAATATAAATACACAACTTTCCATCCTTGTAGAAAATTATACTTCTTGAGAAGCAAGCACTGTCTAAATTTATCAGCATACGTACTTCAGTAGAGGAAAGAAGATACTTTTTTGGTGGATCCTGAGGTTTGAACTCTGGGCCTAGGCACTGTCCCTGAGTCTCAGTTTCCTTCCCAGGCTGGCTTTGAACCGTGATCCTCAGATCTCAGCCTCCTGAGTAGTTAGGATTACAGGCGTGAGCCACTGGCACTGGGCAGAAGCTAGAACTTATACTATTAATTTTTTAAAGGATTTTTTAAAGGAAAGAGATGATATGGAAATGTAGCTTAGTGGTAGTGCTTGCCTAGCATGCATGAAGCGGTGCTGTAGCTCATGTAGCTGAGTGCTGGCTTGAGCAAAGGCAGCTCAGGGACAGCACCCAGGCCCTGAGTTCAAGCCCCAGGATTGGTCAAAAAAAGAGGTTGCTGGGATTGTTCCGTTAAGAAGAAAGGACTGACTGTTATCCTAACTACTTTGGGAGACAGCATGAACACTTTTTTGAGATTCCCCAATTCAACCAATAGCTGGGCATCATCCCTGCTACAATAGGTAAGTAAGTAACCCTACTTCAAAAATAACCAGGGGTTGGAAACTTGGCTCAGTGGTAGAGTGCTTGCAAGCCTAGCATGCATGAAGCCCTGGGTTCCATTCCTCAGTACCACATTAAAAAGAAGCCAGAAGGGGCTCTGTGTCTCAAGTGGTAGAGCGCTAGCACTGAGCACAGAAAGGCTCAGGGACAGAGTCCAGGCCCTGAGTTAAAGCCATAGGACCAGCAAAAATAAATAAACATAAATAAAAAATAATCAGAGCAAAAAAGGCTGTAAGTGAAGCTCAAACAGAGCCACAGTTATTTTCTGAGCCAATAAGACCCCCTGAGTTCAAGTCCTAAAACCACCCCCTTAAACACACACACAAACACACAGACATTTGTAATTTACAAGTAACAATGTCCAACCTGGGGGGTCTTCTGAAGCGATCCTCACGATCCCCATCTCTCTCTCTATCCCTTTCTCGCTCAATGTCCTTGTCATTCTCCTCACGATCTTGATTGTCTCTGTCCCTTTCCTTGTCTCTATCCCATTCGCGTTCTTCTGCTGGTCTTGAATCCCGAGGTGGACCCCAACTCTCTTCTCTGGCTTTTTCTTTCTCTCTCCATCCACCTGTATTTTTTAAAGAAGGATTTATTTCACCCTCAAAACAGACTAATTTTCAAGGTAGAAGGTGGAATCCAACACTTTGGATATGCTAGGCGAACACTACCACTGAGCCACACCTCAAGCACTTACCAGAGGTCTTAACATTATTAGTGAACTCATATTCATTAGCATTCTAAACACTAATGAGATATTTCAATTTCCTTTTTAAAAGAAAAGGTTAAAGCTATGTACCTAATTGCAGACTACTTATTAATAGTTCCTCCTACATCTATCTCTACAGATAACAACACAGTCCAAATTAAATGTCTCATAAAACTTAAGGTTATTGAGTCTTTCCTGTTGTATGTATGCATTGATTTCAGAGTACCAAAGAATTAACCTAAACCCTCTGCTTTACTTGTTCACCATAGCTGAGTTATCTTCACTATAGGCAGATTTTGACCTTGTGGCAATTACAATCACTGAGTGCAGCAAAACATCTGAGTGGCCTGAGATCTGTATCACTCTGCCTTCCAGCTGCAGCTCTTACTATCAAGCATCCCTCTCAGGCGTGCTTATTTAGTACCATGTTCCTCACATCTTTGTGGTTTTTGCTGCTGAATTTGCTGTTTAAAATGACCTGAGTGTAGCACTTAGGTATTATTTTTATCCTAAAAACAAGAAAGTTGATGATATGCCTTAAGAAAATAAATGTGCTAAACAAAAAGGTTTGTTCAGGTACAAGCTATATTATATAGTATTTTAACATGAGCTCAATGTAATGACTCAACATAGTTTTAAATAAATTGCTTTTAAGTAATAATAACATGAACTTTATATATTGGGATGACCAATCTCAATTTAGGATTTTTCTACATTCTTGGCAACACTGAGAACCTACTGTACTTTTGTTAAACCACTTTACATAAAGCACAAAAAGGTAAGCTTACTCAAAGTTACACAGCTGAACAACGGAATAAAATGAGACCTGAAGAGACAAGAGGCATACCATAAAAACTATTAAGAGTAAAACCACAGAAGCTTCTCACTTGGATCTACACTTTAGAATGAATTATTCTGGTTATGGAACAAAGGAAAGAGCACAAAGAGAGTGGGTAAGGCCAGAAACAAGGTAAGAACAAGAGTCTGAAGGATGGAGACTCAGACTCAAGTATAACCAGGAGGAAGACAAAATTGAATGGATGTAAGGATCATCAAAACAGCAAAACTTAGCACCCAGCTAAGTTTTGCAAGTGCTAAGTTACAGGCCCATGCCTATAACCCTAACTACTCAGGATGCTGAGGATTGTGGTTTGGAATCATCCCAGGCAGAAAAGGCCATGAGACTTTTATCTCCAAGAAACTACTCAGAAAAAGCTGGAAGTGGCATTGTGGCTCAAGTGGCACAGTGCTAGCCTTGAGCACAGAGGCTAAGGGACAGCACCCAGGCCCTGAGTTCAAGCCCCAGGACCAGGGGGAGGAAAAAAAAAGCAAAACTAAATGACTAATAAGAGCATGGTGTGGTAATAAACATCTTTAATCCAAACACTCAGAAGGCAGAGACATGAGGATCTGAGTTTGAGGCCAGTGAGATATTGTCTATTAAACAACACTAAAAGGAAGTAGTGCTGTGGCTCAAGTGGTAGAGCGCTCTCCTTGAGCTGAAGAGCGCAGGGACAGCGCCCAGGCCCAGAGTTCAAGCCCCACAACTGACACACACACACACAAAAAAACAGCAACAAGAACTTACATTTGGGGCTGGGAAGGTAGCTCAGCGGTACAGTGCATGCCTTGCAAGCATGAAGCCCTGGGTTCGATTCCTCAGCACCACATAAACAGAAAAAGCCGGAAGTGGCGCTGTGGCTCCAGTGGTAGAGCGCTAGCCTTGAGCTGAAGAGCTGAGGGATAGCGCCCAGGCCCAGAGTTCAGGCCCCACGACCAGCAAAACAAACAACAACAAAAAAAAAACACTAAAAAATAGTAATAATAAAATAAAGACAGCACCATCTTTAAGCAAAAAGGCTAAGGAAGAGTGTGAGGCCCAAGTTCAAGCCCCAGTACAAGCACAAAACAAAAACCAGCCAGGTGCAAATGTTTCATGCCTGTAATCCTTACTCAAGTGGCTGAGATCTGAAAATCAGTTCAAAGCCATACTGGGCAGGAAAGTTCATGAGATACTTAAGGAAACACCACCACCACCACCAACAAAAAACAATTCCTAGCTCATCTGTGGGGAGAAGTCAATGAATCTAGTTTGGCATAGATTAAATTCTGAAGTGTTAAGAGAAATTGCAAATGAAATATGGGCAAATATTTAATAAGACTAAATTTGGGTTAGAGGTAAAGACTGAGCCTGAATAGAATTTTTAAAACCACAGCTTTGGATGGGCACAAAAAGGTCCTTTGAAATACAAGGCAAAAAAGGGCAAGCTTGTAAAGGTGTGGCTCAAGTCGTACAGTACCAGCCTTAAGTGAAAAAAAGTCAAGCAAGAACACCAGGCCAAAGCTCTGGGAGACAATCGGTGTAGGTTCTGATAGGCAGAAGTTAGTTCTAAAACACCCTGGGAGCGGCTGGGAAGGTGGTTCAGTGGTAGAGCGCTTGCCTTGCATTCATGAGGCCCTGGATTCAATTCCTCAGCACCACATAAGCAGAAAAAAAAAAAAGCTGGAAGTGGTGTTATGGCTCAAGTGGTAGAGCGCTAGCCTTGAGCTGAAGAGCTGAGAGACAACACCCAGGCCCAGAGTTCAGGCCCCACGACTGACAAAACAAACAAAGAAACAAAGAGTATGCTATAGCAAAGGCACATTTTTGACAAGAAAATCATTGTATATGCCAATCTGTCCTTTCATTTTCTATATGTCAGAATTTTACCGGGTTATCAGAATTTTACCTGGTTTAACAAATGGTCTCCAGGGACCAGGTCTTGAGTCATCACCGCGTCTGGGAATCCGATCATCATCCATGTTTCTCCAGGGCCCTCTATCATCTTCAGCACCTCGTCTGGAAACTCTATCATCATCAGCATTCCTCCAGGGTCCTCGGTCATCATCCAATCCTCTCCTGGGACCTCGGTCATCATCCAAACCTCTCCTGGGACCTCGGTCATCATCCACGTTCCGTCTGGGGCCCCGGTCATCATCAGTACTACGCCAGGATGATCGCTCATCATCAGCAACTCCTCGCCTTGGCCCTCGGTCCTCATCCATGCCCCGTCTTGGTCCTCTGTCCTCATCAGCTGCTCGCCAGCTTCCTCTGTCATCATCCAGCCCTCGTCTAGGTGGCCTGTCATCATCCCCATGCCTCCAGCTTCCCCTGTCATCATCACCAATTCGTCGTGGAGGCCTGTCATCATCCGTGTTTCGCCAGGAAGGACGGTCATCATCTGCCCCACGTCGAGAGAAACGGTCTTCATCAGGACCACGTCTAGGGCCTCTGTCATCATCCAGGCCACGCCTAGGTATACGGTCATCATCTGGCCTGACAGAAGATTCTCTCTCTTCATCATCCCCCACACGCCTTGGTCGATCTTCATCTCTTCTATGAGGCCTCTCTTCATCCCGACCTTCTCCACGTCTCCAATCCCTACAGAGCAACAGGCTATATTTATCAGCAACTTTTTTTGAAAGTTGTGGATTCTTTGAAGAATTAGGTTTTATTTCACTCTTTTGTTTCAAACACTAATTTTAATCCTGGTACTTAAAAAAAAAGCTCTTCTGCTGAGTCAATGGCTCATGACACAGGAGGCTGAGATCTGAGGATTGCATTCCAAAGCCAGCCCAGTCAGGAAGTCCAGAGACTGACTCTTATCTCCAATTCCAGAGTGGTGCTATGGCTCTAAGTGATAAGAGTGCTAACCCTGAGTGAAAACGCTCAAGGACAGCATCCAGGTCCCAAAAAAAAAAGTTTCCCTAATAAAATGTAACACAAGGGCTGGGCAGGTGGCTTAGTGGCAGAGTGCTTTCCCTACAGGCATGAATCCCTGTGTTCAATTCCTCAGTACTATATAAACAGAAATGGCTGGAAGTGGTGCAGTGGCTCAAGTGGTAGAGTACACAGTGCCCAGGCCTTGATTTCAAGCCCCCAGACCCAGGACTGGCAAACAAAAAACCATAAAATGTGACACAAAATTTAGTGGCGTATACACCAAGACACAAACCACTAAGAAGACAGATTAAAATGGGTCATCTTCACCTTCCCAGAAGCACTTTGGCAACTTCTGTATCTTTTACAATAAGCTTTCTAAACTCAATTTCTGTTCAAGAATTAAAACATTCATTCAGCCGGGCGCCGGTGGCTCACGCCTTGTAGTCCTAGCTACTCAGGAGGCTGAGATCTGAGGATCTCGGTTTAAAGCCAGCCCAGACAGGAAAGTCCGTGAGACTCTGATCTCCCAATAAACCACTAGAAAACCGGAAGTGGCGCTGTGGCTCATGTGGTAGAGCACTGGCCTTAAGCTGAAGAGCGCAGGAACAGTGCCCAAGCCTAGCGATCAAGCCCCATGACCAACCCAAAAAAAAAAAAAAAATTAAAGCCTTCATTATTGTCTACCATTTGTAGTTTAAATTTGAAGGAAAAGAAAAATGTCATAGAACTATTCATACTTACTCCTTAAACTCAATACTCAGGTTAGGGAATGAATAAATCTGAAATACTTATTTGTCAAAATGTTTTTAAGTCCATCATCAGAGTAATGGCGAAGTATAAAATATTTTAGTAATAGAAAAACAACTCCTTTCTCATTCTAACAAAATAAACCAGATTTTTAAAGTCATGACTAGGGGCGTGCTTACTTCTCCGGTGGGCCTCTCCGCCATTCAGAGTCAGCTTCAGGTGCTTTCCTCCATGTGCTCTCAGAGTCTCTATCCCCCCAGCGAGAGTCCTACAATGGGAACAAAAGTCACCACAGTGACTACAACTACTGGAACTGTCATGCAAACATTTCCATTCTTAACCTTGGTGTGGGGGTGCACACCTGGAATCCCCCAGCTACTCTGATGGTAAAGGTAGAAGAATTGAGAGTTGAAGGGAATTGAAGGGCAGCTCCAGTTGAGACCCTATCTCAGAACAAAAGGCTAATTAGGATACAGACACCAGTGGTACCCCAGTATGCCTATAATACTAGCTACTACAGAGGCTGGGTTCAGAGGCTCACTACTGGAAGCCAGCTTGGGAGGGTAAGTCCAAGAGACTCATCCCCAATTAAATGGCAAAAGTTCAGAAATGATACTGTGGCTCAAGTGGTATAGTACAGTGCTTGCTACAACAGTGTCCAGTCCCTGAATTCAAGTGCTAGGATGGATGGCCGGGCAGATGAGTGCATGCACACAGGCACACACGCACGCTCGCGCACATACACACATACACACACACACACACGCACGCACGCACACACGGAAGAGTGCTTGCATAGTATGCTTAAAGCCCTAAATGTAATCCTCAGTATAGGAGGAAGGTTATTATTCTTTTTTTTTTGGGGGGGGGGAGGTTCCGGTCGTGGGGCCTGAACAGCTCAAGGCTAGTACTCTACCACCACTTCCAGCTTTTTTTCTTTTTGCTTATGTGGTGCTGAGGAATCGAACCCAGGGCCTCATGCGTACAAGGCAAGTGCTCTACCACTGAGCCACCTTCCCAGCCCCAATTATTATTCTTAACTTTATGGCCTCAAGCCCTTAAAACATGAGCGTCTTAAGTTAGGAAGTTTATTCCACACTCACAAACTGAAAATATAAATCTGATCAAATAAATTCAGACAACTTTCATTATGAACACAATCATGTTCTGTCAGAGCAGCTCAACAGCTCCTACACAAATAGAACAACACACACAACCATGATCCTACTAATAAGTAGGCTGAGATCTAAGGATCTCAGTTCAAAGGCAGAAGTCTACAAGACTATTCTCCAGTTAACCACCAAAATGTCAGAATGTAGGCATGGTTTATGAGGTAGAACACCAGCTATGAGCAAAAAGGTCCCAGTGTAAGAATGTAAAACAAAATAAAAATCCCCATGTAACCTAAAGAGAATTTTAGAAAGTTATTTAAACAAAATGTAGGGGTGGGTAAGAAGTACAAAGCTGAGAATGACCTATGACTTTAAATAGTTCATGAGTAAAAAGGACCCTCATGCAAAAAACTTCTTGTACATGTTGGAGTGTCGCTCAGTAGTAAGGAATATGTTAATACGCCTGAGGTCCTAAGTTCAATTCCAAATACCTACTCATACCCCACAAAAGATTTTTCAACTATCTTAATGATGCTCTCCAGTAATAGCCAAAACAAGGGTGGCTAAATAATGAGTTGGCTCCCCTGACCCCATAACTAATATTGGGCTGTCTTAAAAATGAAAATTTGTTCTAAGGGATTTCCCCAAATGGACAATGTGGGAGATTAATATAGTCAATGTAACCTATAATCATTCTATAATGTTGAGAACCCTCCTAGCCTCCAACTTCTACTTTAATTCAACAATACTACAGGGCTGAAAAGGTGGCTCAGTGGTAGAGTGCTTGCCTTGCATGCCTGAGGCGCTGGGTTCTTTCCTCAGCACCACATAAACAAAAAGAAAAAAAGCCAGAAGTGGTGGCACAAACATGTAGTCCCAACATTTGAGAGGCTCAAAATTGAAAATTTCTAATTCCTTTTACCACAGAAATAGGAAAAATTCTGTTTTCAAAGGAGAGGTGGGGGTATATAGCTCAGTTATACAGCATATGATTACCAAGTACCCATGATGCTCAGTATCTTGAGGTTTACAAGAAATAAAACAGTATCTAGAAAAGTAACAAGATCAAATCTGGTATCAGGAACTCTCCCCTCTGACTTTGCATTGAAAGAGAAGGAATGCTCTCCACATTCCTAAAATGCTATTTAAACAGGTCAAAACAATGAACCATTGTTCAATACTAAGAACAAAACCTCCTTTGAGACATACATAAGGAAAGTTAAATCCATACAATTTGAAGATACACCAAACCAAAATGTACCTATTTTAAGCAATATTTGTTTATATGGCTATCAAACTTATTATTAGACAGATTTGGGAGGAAACCAGTAGAAATAGTTTTTAAATAAAAAGTACCAAAACAAGTATTAGAATAAAACCAATCAGAACAACTATCATGCTAAATGTAAAAAAAAAAAAAAAAAGAAAATCAAGTTAAAGACAAATTTAACAATCCAAAGGGAACTGACATGACTTTACAACAAAAACAGAAGATTGTAAATGAACAAGAGTGGACAAACAAGATTTGAAAAGATGCTAGTCATAGATCAGTTTCTTCACTTTCCTAAGAAGATCCCATAAATTTATAGGACACAATTCTTAAAATCTTGACCATGGCTAGGTACCAGTACCTCATGGTTATAACTACTCGGGGAATTGAGTTCTGAGGAACATGGTTCATAGCTACCCCAGACAGGAGTCTATGAGACTCCACTAACTACCCAAGAAGCCGAAATAGAGCTGTGTTCAAGTGACACAATGCTAGTCTACACCAAAAGGTGGTCAGGGATAGAGTCCTGAGTTCAAGGGGCAGGATTGGCACAAAAGCAAAACAAAATAAACAACCAAAAGGAAAAAAAACAAAATAAAACACATGACCACACATTTTAAGTAACAAAAAAAATGTACTAAAATCCAAAAAACAAAACAAAACACAAAGCTACCACACAGACCACATTATGGACAACAGGAAGTAAAACAGGAGATCAGTAATAAAAGTTCACTATCTCCATATTTGATAAAGCTAAAATGAAAAATGAAAACAGACATAAAGCATCTAGTTACAGGGCTAGCCACATAAAAGGAACAGCAGAATGACATGCCAAGAAATTCTTAAGCTACCATTCCTTTAAAAACTGAACAACCAGGGCGTAGGTGGCTCATACCTGTAATTCTATCTACTAAGGAGGCTGAGATCTGAAGATCGTGGTTCAAAGCCAGCTTCGGCAGGAAAGTCTGTGAGACTCATCCCCAATCAACCACCAGAAAACTAGGAGTGGCACTGTGGCTCAAGTGGTAGAACACTAGCTCTGAGCTGAAGAACAGTGCCCAGGCCCAGAGTTCAAGCACCACGACTGATCAAAAAACAAAAACAAAAACAAAAAAGGGGGGGGGGCTAGGAAGGTGGCTCAGAGGTAGAATGCTTGCCTTGCATACATGAGGCCCTGGGTTCGATTCCTCAGCACCACATAAGCTGGAAGTGGCACTGTGGCTCAAGTGGTAGAGTGCTTGCCTTGAGCTGAAGAGCTGAGGAACAGTGTCCAGGCCCCATGACCGGACCCCCCCCCAAAAAAAAAACCAAGCTGGGTGCTGCTACTCAGGAGGCTGAGATCTGGGAATCACAGTTCAAAGCCAGCTCTGGCAGGAAAGGCCAGGCGACTCTTATCTCCAATAAACCACTTAGAAAACTGTGGCTTAAGTGAGAGCACCGTGAGCTGAAGATCCGAGGGACAGTGCCCAGGCTCAGAGTTCAAGCCCCACAACCGACAGACAGACAGACAGACAGACAGACATAAAAATGCTCAGAGTAGCTAGAGCAAACATGACTTAAAGACTAACCAGAAAAAAGTAACCATGAAAAGGCCTTGAACGCTAACTTAAAGCAGGTGTTGCCTTTGGTTCTTGGTAATAAGTACCAACGAAGGTTAAAGACTGAACATTTGGGCTGGGAAGGTTGCTCAGTGGTAGAGCGCTTGCCTTGCGTGCCTGAGGCCCTGGGTTCGATTACTCAGCACACCACATAAGCAGAAAAAGCTGGAAGTGGGCTTATGCTCAAGTGGTAGAGGGTTGGTCTACAGCTGAAGAACTGGGGGACAGCGCCCAGGCCCAGAGTTCAGGCCCCATAACCGGACCCCCCCAAAAAAAAAGACTGAACATTCTCCACTAAAAACATCTGAAGGGACTGGGAAGGTGGCTCAGTGGTAGAGCGCTTGCCTTGCATGCATGAGGCCCTGAGTTCGATTCCTCAGCACCACATAAGCAAAAAGAAAAAAGCCAGCAGTGGTGCTGAGGCTCAAGTGGTAGAGTGCTAACCTTGAGCTGAAGAGCTGAGGGACAGTGCCCAGGCCCAGAGTTCAGGCCCCACGACTGGACTCAAAAAAAAAATCTGAAGGAAGGTCTAGAACTATTAACAGAATATGACTGAATACTTGTAAGGCTAAAAAAAAAACTAAATTAAGGTAATAAATGTGTGGGAGTAAAAGAAACATAGGTCACATAGGTTTTCCCTTATTTGCAATATCTAATATATGTCTGATTCAAGCAGAAAAGGTCAGATAAGGTGATGTTAGGGAAATGAACCCTAAGATATGTATTCAAATGTTTTTTTTCTTTCATACGATTGTTTCTAACGCAATTATAAGATTATTTTTTTGTTGCTTTGTATGTCCCTCCCCACAGTATAACCCCTGCTTTCACTGTATTTGATGTTGGTATAATTTGTGGAGAAGGGGAAATATAAATACTTTAAATAGGGATACAGGTGGACCCATTGCAACAATGAGATGTACAAGTCTTTATGTCGAAAACTTTACAACTTTGGGGGGGGGGTGAGAAGGAATGAGAAGGGGAAACAAAGGAGGAGGCTAGCATTATCTTGCCCATGTAATTGTAACCCCTCTGTATAGTATTTTCACAATAAAAAAAAAATGTGTGGGAGTAGAATCAAAGTTCAGTAAACAAGAGGGAAACAACAAACATCACTGATTAGGAAAGGGAATTCCAGAGATAAGAGAACAAGTCAGTTTTATACTCAGGCATTTGGGACACTGTGTGAACCTTGGAGGAATCAGATTAAAATGCAGACTTTGAATCAGGAAGTGTAGGATACTTAAGAATGAACTGATGGGGGGCCCCCCAAGGGGAGGATTGGGTGGGAGGGTTGGGGGAGGATGGGAATGGATGGGAAGGGGAAACAAAGGAGGAGGCTACAATGCTTGATAAGAAATGTACTCATTATCTTGCCCATGTAATTGTAACCCCTCTGTACTGTATTTCACAATAAAAAAATAAAGATTAAAAAAAAAAGAATGAACTGATGGTAAGTTCTCAGTTGCCTATACTGCTGCTTCAAATTCACCTTTGAGTGACATGTTAAAGAACTGTTATTGTGGGCTGGAAAGGTGGCTCAGTGATAGAGCGCTTGCCTTACATGCCTGAGGCCCTGGGTTCAATTCCTCAGCACCACATAAGCAAAAAGAAAAAAGCCGGAAGTGGCGCTGTGGCTCAAGTGGCAGAGGGCTATTGAGCTGAAGAGCTGAGGGACAGCGCCCAGGCCCAGAGTTCAGGCCCCACAACCGTACCAAAATAAATAAATAAATAAATAAATAGAATGTTCTGGTAAACATTTAGTAATTTCTATATTTACCTTCCTAGAAAGTGGGTCATCACCCAGTCTTCTCTCTTCTTCTCTACGCCGTTCTCTTTCTTCAATTTCCAACTCCCGCTGGCGTTTTTTCCTTTCTACTTCTTCTAGTTTCTTGACTCGTTCTTGGTACTCTCGAAGTTCTTCCTCTCGTTTTGCCCGTGCAGCACGTTCTCTCTCTTCTTGCTCTATGTAATTGTATTGGGTCACCAAGTGAGTCTTTTACTTAATACCTTTCCTCTAGTGCTAGTCCTGCACTTTCCTGATGCAGGAAGCATTACAAAAGTAAAGGTAAGCAGGACACCTGTGGCTCACGCCTGTAATCCTAGCTATTCAGGAGGCTGAGATCTGAGGATCATGGTTCAAAGCCAGGGTGGGCAGAAAAGTCCGTGAGACTCTGATCTCCAATAAACCACTAGAAAATTGGAAGTGGGGCTGTGGCTCAAGTGGTAGAGCGCTAGCCTTGAGCTGAAGAGCTGAGGGACAGCACCCAGGCCCAGAGTTCAGAGGACTTTTTAAAATATCAAATGTATGAAGACAATTTTGTAAGAAGACAGAGCACCTTCCCATGTAACAAGGTTATCTAACATTGTTAACATGGACTCAACTTCAATCTTGCTTCACCATACCTTTCAGCATTTGTTCTTCTGCCCTCCTCTGTTCCTCTTCTTCCTTTTCTCTGTAGTAAGTTATTCTGCGTTCTTCTTTCCGTTCCCTCTTGCGTTCCTCCAAGCGATTATGCCTTTCTTCTGCTAATCGCTCTTCAAACTGTTTAAGTTTTTCCTGAGATTGAACAATTACAATAACATCAATTTCTTTCAAAAGATACAAAGTCAGGACTACAAAAGGCCTGCAGTTCCTGAGAACCAAAAAGAAAAGTAGCCATCAAATAAAAACATAAGTTCCAAATAAGTTTTATCACTATAATCTTTTCTCTATTATTGACAACACAAATTCAATGTATCTTGACCTTGTCTGAAAAACCAAATGAGCTAGAGGTGTGACTCAGGTCTTAGAACACAGGCCTGGCAAACCTGAGACCAAGTTAAAACCCTGAGGGCAGTGAAGTGGGAGGGAGAAGCTGTGTGCCAGTGGCTCCTTTCTATAATCCCAGCTAATAATCAGGAGGCTAAGATCTGAGGATTGTGTTCAAATGTTCAAAGCTAGCCCAGGCAGGAAAGCCTGGGCTTTACTTATTAGAGACTCATCTCTAATAAGAAGGAAAAAATCCTAAAAGGCCAAAAGTGTAGCTGTGGCACAAGCAGTAGAACCACAGCCTTGAGAAAAAGGCTAAAGGATGGCACTCAGGCCCTGAGCTCAAGCCCAGAGCCAACAAAAAAAGAAAAAAAAAAAAAAAAGGTGTATCATTAAGCAGGTCTCAGTAGCCCATGCCACAGCAAAGCCCGCAAGATTCTTTTCTCCAAATAACAAGCAAAAAGCCAGATATGGAGCAAGCTGTGACTCAAGTGGCAGAGTACTAACCTTGAGCACAATAGTTCAGAAACAGTGCCATAGCCCTAAGTTCAAACCTCAGGCCTAGCTCAAAAACAAGTACATAACAGAAAACATACTCTTGGAAGCCTAAGAGGTGACACATGCTTATTAATCCTAGTTACTCAGCAGGCTGAAAAGTGGGGTTGGAGGTGTGACTGAGAAGTAGGGCACCAGCCAAGAACAAACAATAAACCAAATGAGTACTCATAGCCCTGAGTACCCCTAACAAGATATAAGGATGTAATTGGGGTTATCATTATATGGTAACGCATAGACAGTAGATACCAGTTTGTTAAAAAAATCTTAACACTGGGGCTGGAAGGTGGCTCAGCGGTAGAGCGCTTGCCTTGCATGCATGAAGCCCTGGGTTTGATTCCTCAGCACCACATAAGCAAAAAGAAAAAAGCCGGAAGTGGCGCTGTGGCTCAAGTGGTAGAGCACTAGCCTTAAGCTGAAGAGCTAAGGGACAGTGCCCAGGCCCAGAGTTCAGGCCCCACAATCAGATCAAAAAAAAAAAACAATAAACAAAAAATCTTAACACTAAAAAGGTCACACTTTTTCTCAAAACATTTAATTAACTTCACCTCATAAACAGACTGTCGGGCAGCTTTGAGTCGAGTCACAAATAAATCTCTGTCTTCCAACATTCGTGACATTCGATTCTTATGTTCAAGAGCCTTTTCTCTTTCTAGCTGCATAGTTGTAATCTGCAAGCATATATTATAAGGTTAAACTTCAAAGCATTTCATACTGATTACTAACTTACCCCAAGCACGCACTGACAAGTATTCTTGAAAAGAATCCCTTTTTACCTTGTTATAGTTAAATGGGCCATGCCAGCCTGGTGGCTCACACACTAGCTACTCAGGAGAATCACAAGTCAAAGCCAGCTCAAAATTCTATCCAAAAAGCCCAAAATGAAGTTGTGGCACGGGCTTGAGAAAAGATAAGGGACAGCACCCAGACCCTGAATTCAAGCCCCAGGAGGGGCACACAAAATAACCCAAAAAGGCCATGCCAACAGCAATCATATGTAAGAGGTATATCAAATAGTTCTAAGGCATCAGTAAGAGGCTGGTTTTATTTACCTCTATATCAAACTTTTTGAATAGGATACAGTGTAACATATGTGGTAAAATAAAATAAATGCCATGTGTACTAAGCACAGTAAAGACATTTTCCCCAAAGAACTGAAAGTAAGGGCTGGGAAGGTGGCTCAGTGGTAGAGCGCTTGCCTTGCATGCATGAGGCCCTGGGTTCCATTCCTCAACACCACATAAGCAGAAAAAAAAGCCGGAAGAGGAACTGTGGCTCAAGTGATAGAGCGCTAGCCTTGAGCTTAAGAGCTGAGGGACAGCGCCCAGGCCCAGAGTTCAGGCCCATGACCGGACCTTCCCACTCCCCCCGCCATAAAAAAGAACTGAAGGTGAAGGTAGGACAGTACAAAGCTTTCTCCTGTACCCCAGGTGAAAACACTTTAAACTATTTCAATTACGTTTCTTGTTAAGCAGTGCTTTCATTTCTAAATACTTTTTATCATAAATGAGTTGTGTCACCAGAAGTACACCTTGTCCTTTAAAATTGGGAAGAACTGACAATACAAAGCTCATGATCACCAGATGGCAGCTATCAGGTTAGATGGAACCATATGCTATATACCCTATGTTCCTATTCTTTTTTTTAAAAAAAGCTAGAATTACTGTTTTACTACGTGTCAAAACACCATAAAAATTTGCAAGCTCTGATTTTATAGTGTAAGTTAAGTACAATGTAGACCAACAAAAGTACAGAAGAGCAGTTTAGTCACAAACTAACGTTGTCTGGGCAGGGAAGGTGGCTCAGTAGTAGGGTGCTTGCCATGCATGCATGAGGCCCTGAGTTTGGAAGTGAGCACTATGGCTCAAGTGATAGTGCGCTTGCCCTTAAGCTAAAGAGCTGAGGGACAGGGCCCAGGCCCAGAGTTCAAGCTCCCTGACAGGAAAAAAAAAAAAAAAGACTAATGTATCTAATTTAATTGAGAGAAGTGCTCAGAATAGTAAATGTAGAGGTATAACAGAGTGGTGGGGCTAGGAATGTGGCTCAGTGCTTGTCTAGCATGCATGAAGCCTTGGGTTCAATTCCTTAGTATCACATAAACAGAAAAGGCTGGAAGAAGCTCAGGGACAGTGCCCAGACCCTGAGGGACAGACACACGGACACACAGACACACAGACACACCCATATACTGGTAGCAGCCTAAGGCAATGGAGTGTACTAAAAACATTTCTGGGAATATGTTCTAAAATTTGTTTGTGGTAGTGGCTGCACAATTCTGTAAAGAAACTACAAACTGCTTAGTTCTGGTGGCTCACATCTCTAATCCTAGCTACTCAGGAGGCTGAGATCTTAGAATCACAGTTCAAAGCCAGCTAGGGGTAGAAAAATCCTCTGATGAACATCTTTTAATCTTTTCATTTGACGTGTTTTATTTAAATATCTATTAAACCAACCATCATTTCTAGCAAAAGAATATAAGATCATTTAAAACTCTGGCCCTATTATTTATCTGCTTAAGGTTGAAAATATTGCAATTATATGAAAAAACTTAACTCTTTCTTCTTCTTGTTGTTCCCACAGATCCATGTCTTTAATCCTCTGTTCTTCATAAGCACTCTTTATCAAAGGAATTTCTTCCAAACGTTTAGCTCTTTCAAAATAATCAATCTGAATTTGACATAAAAATAAACATAGTTATTAAAGTTATCTGTTAATTTATGTTAGAAGGTTACTGATTGGGCTGGGATGTAGGTCAGTGGCAAAGTGTTTGCATAGCAAGTGCAACGTCCTAGGTTCAATCCTCAGTATCAAAAAAAAAAAAAAGACAGGAAAAAAATTTTTTAAATCCTTGCTGGGTGACAGTGGATCCTGTCTGTAATCCTACTCAGGAAGCCGAAATCTGGAGATTCACAGGCAGAAACATTCATTAAATGCCATTTCTAAAATTACCAGCAAAAAGCAGGGTGGAGAGAGACATGGCTCACATGGTAGAGCTCCAGCAAAACTATTACCAATTGTCTTATTTTTTACCTTCTTTTCCTGATTTTTCAGACGTTCTTGAAGTTCCTTCTTTTCTTTTTCCAATTGTTCAACTTGTTTAGCCATGATAAAATCAGGATCCAATTCTTCAAGGTCCTGAAAGGCAATAAAAATGCACTAGTTAAAAATATAAATGAGGGGCTGGGAAGGTAGCTCAGTGGTAGAGTGCTTGCCTTGCATGCCTGAGGTCAGGGTTCGATTCCTCAGCACCACATAAGCAAAAAGAAAAAAGCCGGAAGTGGCGCTGTGGCTCAAGCAGGAGAGTGCTAGCCTTGAGCTGAAGAGCTGAGGGACAGCACCCAGGCCCAGAGTTCAAGCCCCATGCCGGGCGCTGTGGTACGCGCCTGTAATCCCAGCTACTCAGAAGACTGAGCCTGGAGGATCACTTGAGTCCAGGAGTTCTGGGCTGCAGTGTGCTATACCGATCAGGTGTCCGCACTAAGTTCGGTGTCAATATGGTGACCTTCCCGGAGCAGGGGAACACCAGGTTGTCTAAGGAGGGGTGAACCGGCCCAGGACAGAGTTCGAGCCCCATGACCAAAAAAAAGAAAGAAAGAAATACATGCTTTTCTAAGATCAAGTCCCAATTATTTTGACATGTTATTTAAAAGAACACTGCACAGGGGCTTGGAAGGTGGCTCAATGGTAGAGTGCTTGCCTCACATGCATGAGGCCCTGGGTTTGATTCCTCAGCACCACATATGCAGAATAAGCCAGAAGTGGAGCTGTGGCTCAAGTGGTAGAGCACTAGCCTTGAGCTGAAGAGCTGAGGGACAGCACCCAGGCCCAGAAATCAGGCCCCACAACCAGCAAAAAAAAAAAAAAAAAAAAACACTGCACAATAGGCTTTTGTACAACCAAGAAAATAACGTGCATAATCTTTTTACCTCTCAATTCTCTATTTTATATTAATTCTACCCCAATGATAGACACTTGCTAAAAACTGTACAAGGGGCTCAAAGTAGCACAGTGTCTGCCTACGTTCTGGCTGAATTCAAACCCTCAAATTGTTAAAAAAAATTAAAAAAAAAGCATACACACAACAAAAACACCAAAAAAAAAAAAAAAACCATCAATTAAAAACAAATGCAGCTACATGCTGGTGGCTTATGCTTGTAATCCTAGCTACTCAGGAGGCTGAGATCGAGGTTCAGAGCCAGCCCAGGCAGCATAAGACTCTTATTCTCCAATTAACCACCAGAAAACCAGAAATGGTGCTGTGGCTCAAGTAGTAGAGCATTAGTCTTTTTTTTTTTGTCGGTCGTGGGGCTTGAACTCTGGGCCTGGGCGCTGTCCCTCAGCTCTTCAGCTCAAGGCGAGCACTCTACCACTTGAGCTACAGCGCCACTTCCGATTTTCTGGTGGTTTATTGGAGATAGGAGTCTCACAGTCTCTCCTGCCCGGGCTGGCTTTGAACCGCAATCCTCAGATCTCAGCCTCCTGAGTAGCGAGGATTACAGGCGTGAGCCACCATCGCCAGGCCTGGAGCATTAGTCTTGAGGGACAGCTCCCAGGCCGAGTTACTTCAAACTCCATGACTGACCTCCTTGCCCCCCCCAAAAAAGCTTAATCAATGAGCCAGCTGTAAAAACATGCATAAAGCAATCCAAAATAGACTAAATAAAGGGTAAAAGACTATGCTTCTGATACTACAGAAATCTTGGATAAAACAAAGTTCTTAATGTATGTCACGTACTTCAATGTCAATATCTTTGAATGCTTTGGCACCCAGCTCTGTCTTCTTGATCTGTTCCAAACGCTCTCGAACAGTTTTCTTTTTGATTTGTTCATGTTCTTGTAAGATCCGCTCCTTCTCTCTCTCCTTTGCCTCCTGCCGCAGCCTCTCTTCTTCAGCCTTCCGTACTTTCTGGAGTTCAGCTTCCCTCTGTTCTAGTTCTTCTTTCTCACGCTGAATATTCAGACTCTCAAGTCGTTCTTTCCTTTCCTCAATTGTCTGCCGGCGAGCCAGGATACGCTGATGTTCTTTTCTTGAATTTTTAAGATACGCAGTAACCGCCAACTGATGTTGTTCTTCTTTCTCTTGCTTCAAAAACAAACTTACTTTTAAAATTTATTTAAAGCAACATATAGTAGGATATTAAGGATCAAAAATAATCTTGATGAACTGCCTTTCTATGCTATTTGTTCTTCAAGCTATATTTGTTTCCATTATCAAATATTGTGGCACTAGTTCTATTCAAGTTTTTAGTAAATAAAAAAAGTCTCTATTTGCAAGTAAATTTTTCTTGGCAACAAATATACCTTACATGCTCAAGCCAAGGTATATTAACAGAGGTTACAAACAATAAATTAAGCAGGAAAGAAAAGCCCAATCTTTGTACCCCATTGTTTTTGGGTGTCATGGAATTGCAGTGTTATAAACATCTGTTTTTATTACATGTTTAATAAAGTATTTAATATGCATGTATATAGTATATAATATGCATGTTTAATATAGTATATAATATACATGTCTAATAAAGATATTTGATAAAAACAAAACTAGTCCAGGAGGGTGACTCACAGTTACAGTATCTCAGCACTTGTGAAATAAGAGTCAGAACAAGAGTTCAAGACCACTGCATACATAGCAAGACTCTAATCTTTCTCTCCCCTGAAAAAACTTGGGGATATGTAAATATAAATCATTTCTCCCCCTAAAGACACTTACCAGTATATGAGCTGGCTTGATGACTTCAAGTGCTTTTGCAAGCACTGAAGACATGGCTGTGAGCTGATTTCTTATCTGTTCTGAAGGCATACTCTGCAGATGAGGACCAATTGGTGCATCCTCTCGAGTAGCATAATTTAAGTCAGATCCAAAACTCAGAGTTCGAGAAGTGTGGTCAATACGAACCTATAAAAATTGTCAGTGGTTAAAAATCTTGGTGTTGATGATATATATTATAATTTGTGGGTAGGGACGGAAGGGGGAAAATAAAGGGGTGACACTGACCAACAAGCAATGTACTCATAACCTGATTTACAGAATTGTAACCTCTTTGTAAAACTACTTAATAATAAAAATAATTTTTAAAACTATGTTACTTGAACATTTTGAGAGAATCCAGTGATTCAGCAGAGATTTAAAACACTCGCTGAAAAGTATCAAGAGAAAGAAAGCAACCAGAGAATAATAGTTGAGGAAAATGATCTGCTATAGATCCAAAGTGGATAAAAAGATCAGTTATGTATCTGAAGACCCAAACACTTACAGAAAGCTAGCTAGCTGTGCCCTGACTGAAAATATTCAACTTAATCAAATGAACTTGAAAAAAAATAATGAAATTGATGGATTTAAAATTCAATTGAAATGTAAAAAGTTATGTAAAGCTATAAAATTACTCTGTAGAGCTTTAAAAAGCTGCCATTCTCATTTGCAGGGAAATGGATGGAGCTAGAAGGAATCATGTTGAGCGAGGTAAGCCAAGAGCGAAGAGACAAACGGTACATGGTCTCCCTGATAAGTGGATGATAAATCCAAAATGTTAGGTGATACGACAAAACTAACAGGACTTAAGAAACAAAGAACTCC